GTCAGTTAGTTTTTGTCAAGTCAGTTAAATAAATCATTTTCTAAATTAAAATCAATAAAGTCGTCTCCTCATTTTCCTCACCCAAAACCCTTCAGTGGTAGTATAAATAAAATTTTTCGTATATAGTTACAGTCTTAATATTTTAAGTCGAAACTTTGAAATCTTAAGTTTTAATTGTAATAAAGCTAATAAGCCATTCAAATGTTATTTTATTAGTATCAACATGTTAAATTGTATCCATACAAATTTTTTTCGAGACTTTTACAGTTAAAAAATGAATTATTAGTATTTTTTTTACAAATAGGTCAGTTCCAACCCTCATCTTAAATCACAACAGCTGTAAAGCTTTGGCACTAATAGTTTGTAGCAAATTTATTGTAGACAATTGTTTTTTATGTACAGACATGCAATAATCAGCCATAAAATATTTATAAGGTTCAATTCGAAAATCCAAAAATTTTAAACTGAATCTGAGACAGTTACGGCAAAATTACCTATTTATGTGTATTATATATATTTATTTATTGGTATTATATTATTTGTATTATTTTTTATTTTTCTCAGTACAGTCGACACATTTTTTAGCATCTCTATTAACAAGGCGTTTTCTAGTTAATGTATAGTCATTAATTCGTTCTTTGACTTAAAATATATTTTTACCCAACTTTCCATTACTACAACTTTACTAGCTTTAAATATTTGCAATGTACTGAGTATATTTCTGTCTAAACCTTCTACAAAACGGACATTCTTTAACTCTACTCTCGACTTATGTGTATAGTTATCAAAATATATATCTGTTTTCTATTATCGCGGCTTTTTTTCTCTTTAAATGGCAAACTAACTTTCAACTATTTCTGTTGTTGTTGCTGTAATAATAATTCGCTTGGTCTGCTGTTATAGCCTTGAGACAAACCTAGCGAACCAACTGCTCAGTGAGACTCAGTGACTATTCTCTGCTGGAATACGTGTGACTGACTGTATTGAAAGTTCATTGATGACTGTACTCTCACCATACAATAAGCAGTACTTGTGCATAACTCAACGATGTGTGTATAGCTTATAAAGGACGAGACTGTACTAATTTATTTATATTACAACAATATCACCCTGTGGTTAGGACACCTTACGGTCAGAAGTAAACACTGCGAGAATTTATCACAAATCATTTACATTTTGTACTTACAATTTCTAGGTGTATAACACAAGTATGTTCTTCTTCAATAACTTTAACGTTAACACTCATCAATTAAATTTTTAAGATTCTTACGAAAAATATCAAATATATTAATAAACGATCATTTGAAGACTAATAAGTAGATACAATTGCATTCCAATAAGGCAGCGTTTCGCTGGCTTAGGTTTTGCCAGCCTTATCAGACCAAAATATTTTGTCAACTATAAACATACAAACAACATACAATTTTTAGGTTCTTAAAAATTTGTTAACATAAAACAAAAAATTAACAATTATAACAAAACTTTATCATTATTCCCGAGAAATTGGTGTCACTGGAATAGCACGAGTGCAAATCGAGGTGCAAATTCACTCTGGTTAACTTTACGTCCATACCAAGCAATAGTCTGACAGTGTGTCTGGGCACAGTAAATATCGTTTTGTCAAAATAATTCAGGGATTATGATCTTTTGAGCTAGCCCTAGTTTTTATTTTCAGTTGAGACTTACCTTTATTGGCTCCATAAAGAAATGCATATGATCGTATGGCAGAGTTACTAACATTTTGGTGATAAAAGTTTTATGCCGCTCATGAGTTGAGAGACGGGTGCCGAATGCCGAGAGTCAGATGGTGTGTTGCCGGGCGTGTGTCGAGAGAGATGCAAGCGTAAGGACGTGAATCTGTGCGATGGTGGTTGAAACATTGAGTTAGTTAAGCAGTAGAGATTGGGTGGCATTAGCAGTTTTTGCGTGTGTCCAGCGTGGAGGATGCAAAGAAGCGTGAAATATAGAGGCTGTGTTTTTGTTATTTGGTGTCGGGATTACAAACGTGGGGAGCATTATATCTACAAGAAAGAAAAAAAAAAATTTAGTCCTGAGAGCTCGGCTGGACTTATCAGTAAAGCTGGTATTCCTCTGGCTAGGAGGCTAGCATGCTAACCAATAAGCCTTTGCAAAGATGTATATTTTTATTGTACATAATTTATCGTATTATATTTGGTTTATGAATAAAATTTTAACTTTAATATTTATTATTATTCTTCTCTGCTGTGAAAGTATGTTATGACTTAAATTTTCAAATTAAAATGTTCAGCATGATCCAAATATAGCCTGTTCCAAAAAGCTAATCGTCTGATTCATCCTTTACAAGTAAGCAGTTAAACAGATAGACAGAGAAAGAATCAGAAAAGTGAAATTAACTAACATATAGTACTAAATAAAATATTTTAAGATCGTCTTACACTGTACTTACTAAGAATTATTGTTTTTCCAAACATTTTTCGGTTAAGATAGCAAACTCACCTCGGTGAAGAAGTCTCACAATTTTGCAATAGTACATTAGCAATGCACTGCAATAGCATCTGATGAACAAGTAAACTGACCACCAAAGCCCTTATTTGCACACGTACAATATACAGCTCAGGATTAAGTCTATTAAGACTGGAGGTGACCGATGGTGGATAAAGTAGAAAGATGTATGATTTTTCGTCGGGAGGTTCACTTAATTCTTCAAGTCTTTGTTCCTCCATAAGAAATACCTATTGAAAAGCAACAGTAATTGTTTCTTTGAGCTTATTAAAAATAAATTTGTTACTTGCAAATAGTTAATGTATAATCTTGTAATGGTCCAATTTTATAAAATTTACCTTTTCATAAAAAGAAAAAAGTCAGGTAAGTGATAATAAGTTAAATTAAATATTTTTCTAGAGCTTCTGAAGCTTTTGTATAGTTGTGATTAATTGTATTTATTTGAATAATCTAACAGACTTGCAAAGTTGTAAAATCAGAATTAGAAAGGACCAATCAGGTTTTGTTTGTATTGGTGCAGCATCCTTTTGTACAATACTCGTTTTATTATATTTTTAAGGGCTCACATTAACAGAATTAAACTGAGAAATTTTTATCATACTTCTTACTGTCCTGTATGTGAATCTAACAGCAAATAATACATAAATTTCCATTATTGGCATAAGCATACATCAAAACGTTACATTGATTAATCAATTTAATGAAAGGTTGACATATTTACATGATACCAGTATAGTATAGTATTGAGATTTCACGTATACCCTTGCAGGGTTTTTATGTATCCTATATCCCTTATCTCTACCATTCGTGTCCTTTTTTCCCCAATTACCCTACTTTTTTCCCGAGTATACGGATCTTTAGTGCAAGTTCCTAGCAAAGTTCCCCTCAGACAACTTAGTCACCCATCTTACTAACTACTATTTACAGGGCGCAGGGAGTGTCTCAAGTGCATCCCAGCTATTGTTAAGTTTAATGGAAGGATCTTTTCCAATAAACTATCTATCTCGCTGTACCGACTGTATGTGATGTTTACTTTACACAGAGTCCAGTGTTGATGTATGTATGTCGTTTGACAATGTGCCACTTGTTTCTTTACTCAACAGTTTTTTTTGGTAGTTGTTTTGTTACTGTCCATCAAAATGACGGTTTTAAAAAAAAAATTGTTTGGGCAGGTTAACAATTTTATTTCAATTATTATTTGCAGGCGCTGAAGCATGCACCGAACACAGTTAATACTGTACGGATAAATAAAATTAGTCTAAAATGAGTTTTCAGCAGAATTAATATTAGTAACGAAAAATTAAAAAAAAAATGTAATTAGTTATAACTTTGTTGCCATTGCGGTAAAACCAAAATGTGGGTAAATGTTTTGTGATGAATAATCAATTGGATATTGAAATGTTTATGCACGTTAAAATAGTACATTATGTGACGAGTGCGTGAGAAACGCGATTCGCGCACGAGTTACATATCCTATTTTTTGAAACAGTGTGTGAGAAGATCGACTTAATCTAAACAAAATGTTTTTATCGTGCTTTTGTTCATTTTTTATTGTCATTATAGATGTTTATCGTAACATTAAAATTTATAAAATTCAATTTAATTTTCTTATTTTTGTTTGCGATTTCATTTGTTTCACAATTTTCCTATTCATTAATTCTCTTTCTTTTCTTCAATGGCGATCCAAATGTAGCGTTTTTCGTGGTGGTCGAAACATAGTCCACCCTTTGATATTGTGAATTGTCCTTCGACTCGGCTTCGACATTATTTATAACTACAGTTGCGTTATCAAATCTTATATTAGACGTAGAAGGAATTTGATTTTCAACTGCATGGGAATTGACGAGCTGTGTTGTTAAGTTGATTACATCTGTAATTTTTTTACTTATTTCTTTTTGGTTGTAAAACGACTTTTCGACGTAGCTTCTAGCTTCTGTCACCGATTTCCAACCTCCGTGCCTCATTAGATCGTTTTCATTACCTCCGCCGTCTGCAAGCAACGTTGTCGAAGTCCTTCTCAAACTATGGCCTGTATATAGTTCAGGATCTGGTAACTTCAACCATGTGGCTACAATTTTCGGAACTTTACCAATTGAATTCACTCCTACTGGCTGACGTTTGCATTTTTCTTTATCGTAAAACAAAAAAAAAAAAAAAAAAACGATCGTGTGACACATCTTTAGGCCTTAAGATTGTGTACATTTTGCAGATTTTATAATAATTTCCGGCAATAGTGAATGACCGATCAATGTCGTTCTTCGTCTCTTTGATGCTTACGATAAAGCTGTCTGAGGTGTCTTTAACATCGTTTAAAGTTAGATTTGCTAGCTCACTTCGTCGACATGCACCACTTATACCAAAACTAAGAATAACCTGAGAATAAAATTGTTATGATCGTATCGCTTAAAAAGCGTAATTACAAGTAGTAAAAAAATTCAAATTCAATAATTTACTTTTTTACATAAATACACTTCATTTGGAGCTTCATTAATAAATTTACTGATTTCATCAGGCTCGAAAATCTTGCCTTTTTTTCTTGTATCTCGCGTTTTTCTTCTTTATAAAAGCAATCAGCGTGTGATGATAGCCCAGATCGATGTGATCAAAATTTTTGACACACGTTTTAATCATCGAAGATTGTGTCCATAAAGTTGGTGGAGCATGTTTTTCAGAGAGCTCTTTAAAATACGCTATAAATACTTCTCCAAGGAACGATGTTGTCTTCTTTTCCGAGCGCCATTTCTTGAACGCATTGTAAGCTGCAGTATACTGCCGTTTTGATTTTTCAGGCAACGAATTCATAGCCACTTCTTTAACCACTTCAACAATATCAGGTGGTAACTCATCTCCATAATCAGTATCATTTGATATACTGTCCGAGCTCATGTTAAAAATTAATATTGTTAACACACACTTATAAAGCGCTAATAATGCGCACGAGCTAATGTAACGCAACACAAGAATAAATCTGGTAAGCAGAGGCGTAGGGTTATGCTAAACAATTGATGCGCTATTGCGAGTCACTGCTATTTGTTATTGCTAGGTTATGAAATTTCCTCGCGCACTGGTGCCTATTTCTTCGCGTACGACTTGAAGCAGTGCGCGAATGGCGTTCCTTGCGATCTCTATAGGTGCATGCGAGGTCGATCTTCACACACACTGTTTTAAAAATGTATTATTCCTGATTTAAGTTACAAATATGTATTTACAAATATACAAAATGTGTTGTTTAATTATCCACATGTTGTCTATCGTCCGTTATAATGAGTGGTTGGAGATTCACTAAGACACAGCATATAATGCATAATCTTGTCAATATGATAGAATAAAATTTGTTGGAATTTCATTCAAGACACGATAAGTTCGGAGTCTCTGCATTATTTTTTCCTCATGTATTCGTATTTTAGCAACTCTGCAAGTTATGCTTCCTCTCGCAAATTTCGATTACTTACAAACCAGGTTTTGCTGTAAAACCTTTCTTGTAGAGTGAGTACGTACAAACATGATAATTGACACTTCCTGGAACATGTATCCAGAGTTCAGTACAGTCAATAATGACTCTCGTGTTGCTAAATTGTGAATGAAAACATTCGGGCATCGTTCCTTGAGTGGAATCTTTGTCAGGCCAAAAAATTGAATTTAAGGTACTGCGAGCTACGTGCTGCAAAACTGATAAGAAAATAGCAGAAACAGTTATTTTGTAAATTGAAAATAATACACGAATTGCTGAATAAGTTATCCCAGTTTTAGTTTTCATCAAAAAAATCAAGTCTATTCTTCTTACTTATTTTAAACTTTTTGGTATCAACATTCTTAGTCTCAAGTTTTTGTACATAGTAAAAAGTTAAACTTGTCTAACGACATTCCCGCTAAATCTAACAACTGCTCGTTAGATTTAATACTTTCCAAACCTCGAACATACTTTGTCTTCAAATCATCAGTATCAGCGAAAGTTGATTTGTCAACGGTAGTTATGACTTCCATACCACATGATACACTTTTATGTATCTTGTAATTCAGAATACTTACTTTGTATCGTGTCTGAAAATTTGCCTGAAGTCCCGCATTATTGACACTGCTTTCAAATGTGAAGCAATGACATACAAAAGTATTTACATTATTTTCGAATTTGTCGGCGAAAATTTCTACTTGACAGCTTTTATCCATTTGTGCAACAAAATTTGAGCTCTCCTTGGCTTGATATTTATTAAACAATTCTGTAGTTTCAGCCAAACCTTCACATTTTTTTTTTTTTTTAGAATAAATATAGTTAATAGAATTTGTATTTCGTTAAAGAACTGGTTTCTACAAGCGGTTGTGCGTAAAACAGTGCATACATGAAATATCGCTTGTTTGCTACGATTCAGCATTATAAATTAAGAATATACATTTTACTTTTTAATTATATTTGTATGACACATTTGCGTACTGTATCTTGCCTACCAGTAACTATTGATGGTAAATAACTTCGACTAAGTTCTTCGTCGCATTTTTCATCACCAATAAAATTTTCGCTGCAAATAACTTGTTTCGATTTTGGAGTCCATTCCACTGGAAATTTGCTATGAATAAGAATATAATTACTCTTGAAAAAAAAATAAATACAATTATTGGTTATGTACTCACTTAATTTTTCTATCATAAATAATCCACTTGTTTCTTTAAGTAAACTTGTGATGGAAAATTTATTATTTGCTGTTGGAAAATAATAAAACTTAAAATTGCTGTGTTGATTAGTATTTTTTCAGGACAATACACACCATGTATGTCTAACCATTTTTGTTATTGAATATTGGATAGAAATACAAATCTTTGGCACTTCTACGCACGCTTGTCTGCTACACAGATGTGATGCGTGCAGAACAGACGAGGGAAGCACACTTCTGTATTCTTATTCAATCATAAATATAAGCTTATTACCCCCAAAATTGCATCATTAGACTTAAATTATATAGATAAATTCTTACTCTTATATTAGTTATGCTAAAATGTTTTCAATAATACTCCTGTTTTTTGAGTTATTCGATAAAACCAAGATATAACACTTCGTTTGGTATACAGGAGAACCGTCAAATAAAACGTTTTTGTCACCATGGATGTTGGCGAGAAGGATTAACTTTATCCTTGGAGTGAATATCTAAACGCGTTCTCAACAGCTCAAGCCCTAAAAAGGCGATTGTTAAATATTATCTGCCCCCTTAACAGAAGATTCCCTGGAAAGAGTTTCATG